ATGGGGATAACTAAAATCAAAAATTGACCAAAGCAAGCCTCAGACCCTTGTCTATTTGAAGGAGGAAATAAGAAAAGAAGTAACCCAATTTCCTGCACGGACGCTGGCCGACGCAATGGGCTCATTTTGTTTTACTCAAAAAATGGCATGTATTTCCGAGTATTTTGATATAATAAACTATTTTCTCCCAAACTTATTTTGACTATACTCATTTAAAAAACATGCACTGTTTCTGACGGACACTGTATTATCTGAATCTCGCCTCCTGTAATACTGTTACAAATAAAAAAGGCGTTGATTAATAATTATTATTAATTACATTATTTACAATCACAAGGCGAGTCGGAGCACTCTGATCTCAGTTACTAAGTTGTTTCTATACTAGGTAAAGATTGAAGAATTCAAGCTAAAGTAGCAGATTGGTTTTCAAGAAAATCGTTGATCCACGTCTGCATTTATCAAAGGCAGTGGACCTGACGTCACAGGACTGGCTTTCGGTAAACATTTCAACTTAAATAAATATTTTTGATGTAACGTAAGATACTCTGCAATATATTACGCAAGCTAACTCAACTGATTTAATAAAAATAATGTCTTCTAAAATGTTGTGTAAGAATTACGGGATAGATGACTGTCTCAAGAAACGTTGAATAAATAAATAAAACTGATTTCACGGATTTCCGACTTTTACGATATTTTAGCAAAAGGTTGGTTGTATGGCAAATACTAAGCGTCAAATTAAGTCACAGAACTAGAAATGAACATATTGTATATTATATATAACGTTCTGACGTCTTCATATATTATATTGAAAAAATATATTGATATATTGACATTTGTCATTTTTTTAGCTACTGATGAAACATCGAGGTTCTCCAATAAGACAACTACAGGACGAGTTCCAAATGTTAGAGTATTGTCGGCATCCGTACGTATACGTCAATATACGTTGCTTTAAGTGTACATGGCAATTTCAAATACCTGATTGCTGGTTTGTAAAAATGTCATTAACTATTGAGACTGTGTATTTGTTACAATGTTTGTAAATTTATTAGCGACAAGAGTATTAAAAACAAAAAAAAAGATGTCGAAGGATACCGAACTTCCTGCTCAACATCAAAATAACGAAAATGTATGCCCGTGCAATTTGTGCCTGTTGTGTTTTCCAGTAGTAATTGATATGCTTAACACTATTCCAGTATAACACTTATTTCTTTTGTTCTAATCACGGATGGAGCGATTCAAAAAACCACATTGGAGTCATCAAGTGCACCAGGGCCAGATGGTATTCAAATAAATGCTATAAAACTTGCAGGGGCCACAGTTAAGGTTCAACTGGTGCATTGTATGATCTGGATTCTTACTGCTGGATAATTTCCTCAGCATTGAAAATAGGATGAACTGAAATCCCTCCATAAAGTATGTAAAGATCATAGACTAACAGAATCTACAGGCCAATCACCTAATATAATAGGTAAAATTACCGAAAAACTTATACTCCGACGAATCATGCTCTTTATCAGTAAAATCATTCCAGAATATCAGCATGGTTTCACCAAAGGCAAGGGAAGACAAACGCAAATTTGCTGTACAGTTAAAGTCATTACAGATGCACTTGGCCAACGACACCACGTAGCAGCGACAAACGATGTCACAATACGCATTTAATTTGTGCGTGCTAAATGGATCCAAATAACAAAATCACGAGAGGAAAGCAGGCAATGGAATAAATATTCGATTACTAGGATTGGTGGATGCTTACTTGTAATAAGCAGAATACGACGTGTATTGTATTTGGATGAGCAAGAAAGTACCGTAAATACATCAAGTATGGAAGAATGGGAAGCGAACAGTCGTAACCCCCGTCTTCGATTAATCACGATACCTTGGGGTAAATCTTAATACAACAGGCCTCATTGAATAAATAATTCCAAAGGCTAATCGAGCAGTTTACGGTCTGTCTTCAATCATTGGCTCTAACTCAAATGTTTCTGTAGAAGTGATGTTGAAAGTAATAAAAGCATGCATCTACACGATACTAATGTGCGGACTTCTTTTAGGCAGGGAAATATTTTATAGAAACTATCAGGTAGAAAAACTCTACAGTATCGCAATGTAGGCGCTTTCTTACTGAAGTATGAGATTCTAAAGAAATGGCATACTTACTATGCTTGCTGCATTTCTTCATAGTGGGTAGCGTTGTGCTAGGTTTTCATACCAAAGGAATCTCATCTCTCTCTATCTTACACATACATACTTTTATACCTATGTACGAGTACATGTACAACCGAGCAAAATAGAAATCTACCTTACTCAGCATCATTCGTCGCACTATTGGTTGAACATCATCCCATTTTCCCTCGCGTATATGCATGGCAAAATTTTCACCAGCGTGCCTCCGCCGGGGGTAAATTCCAGATCTGTCTGGTAGTCAGCCTACCTACATTCTGGTAGGTGATTAAGAGTATCCTCCTCTTCCTTGCAATATACGCAATTCGCGTACTCTCTCTTTTTTACCATTTTCAGGTAGCTGCCAAAACAACCATGTTCTGTACAGCAAACCGATTGGCGGGATTCCAGCTACCACCAGCAGTGCATTGGTAGACATCGTTCTGTAGGCACATACCATGCACAGCACTACTTTGCGCTGGCTTCTCAGTGAATGTACGGAATGTGCTGCTGTGTTCTCATGCTTAAGTGAAAGAAACATTTTTAAATTCTAGAAGACCCTTAAGAAGGTATATAAACGAGTGGGGCAGTTTCTCATTGCTTCCCAGATGACATACGTTGGGAGATGCTGCCTGGATCAGGGGCACAAGAGATTCTTAAAAACAAATCAGTAAAGACGATTTTGACCAAAGTATATCATCCAATCAGCCAGCCAGGCCAGCGATGTCAAATCCAGCCTCCAAAATTCAACCACCCTATGCAATATGTCTCTATAATAATACCTTGTAAGAAGATTTTATCATGCGTCCCCTATCCTTCTCCTTGTGTTACACCCCTTTCTTAAGAGGTACATTAGGGTGTCCCAAAAAAACTGAAGATCGCGTACCCTCTAATTCTGCCTGAGCACTATCGAAACAATTGTAAATATTCTGTAAATTATGTACCTAGAGCCGAGTTGCGTTGGAACGTGGAAAAACTTGCATATTAGGCGCGAGCTAGATAACGTATTGCAGTGCTCGTTTGTCCTATTAGTAAACGCACCGTTTTCATTCAGCCAATATGTCGAAGGTTATAAAAAGTTCTAAAAAGGAAATATTTTTAACAGGGGACGTAAAGCATCAAAATACCGGTTCAAATCTTCCCTCTAATGAACAAGTACTAGCAGTTTGTTCTATAATATCGCGGGACGTGAAATTAAGTGTCACTGAGAGCGCCAACTTTACTATTCGTTAGTGCATTAATTAGTGGGAGAAGACACGTATACCGCCTAAATCTCTACCTAACTGTGTTAAGAAGCTAGTTACCTTATACCAAGTTTGGAGAGATTTACGAAAAAAATGTAACCAAAACATAACTGTGTGAGCAATGTCGACAAGAGTTTGTTACCAACTTGGACAATTTGTTTGATATTGCGCATGCCGCAATTGATGAAAATAAATGGAGATAGGATCTTCTTGTAGCAGCAGAGAGAGCCTAGTCACCTTGGTCATTTAAACCATAAAAGCAGTGAGCAAATATGTTGCTCCTTAACTCCTTCATCATCTTACGAACCAGTGCAAGATAATTCATCTTCAGATTCCGAGATAGATTTACAAGAAACTTTGCCCATCTGAACTCCATAGCATGATACTAATCAAACTCAAATGAGGAACATTTTGATACTATACTGTTACTGATACTAGTTAATACAGAAATGCTTATTTTTGCTTGCCGCGTTCACGTCTACGAATTGGTGTTGAAAGGCGCGTTTGAATGAAAGATCGACCAAGTGACTACAAGCGATGACATTCCAGTGTTTAAAAAGTTTCGCGAGAGCTGGAAAAATCTGTATTCCGAGAAAGTACAGATGTATACTTAAAAGAAGTTGCTAGAGACGACTACAGAGAATCAATTGAACTTTCAATAACACTCCTTAGCGGAGATACAGAGAAAAAAATTAAGATTCGACCGCCAGGCGCTTTGCATCAAGCTCGATGGGTGGCCAGAGCAATCTATTCACTAAAAATAGCATTACTAAGTTCCCAGCTGAAACTTATAATAAAGGTAAGGCTGTTGGGGTAACTTCCGACTAGTCTTGTAAAAAGACCCTATTTTTGTTTGGTACTGTTTATTTTTCATCTACATTGAAATGATATGGTTACAAATGTATGTTTTGCTTGACAGTTCCCGAAGAAGTGGTGCCGTCAGCGTGTCGGTGAGTGGCGGAGGCGAGGTTTTCAAAATGCTTGTACAAAGGCAGCTCTGTTAGATATCTGCATGTTCATCGTGACAACATACGTGAAACCATGGCAATGCACTTTAGCGGTTAAAGCACCTGACCAGGATTTATGCTTTTAAAGGCAATGAAGGCTTACGAAAGAATTGACAAAACCATTTCAAAAGCAGCTTTACAAAAGTTCTGCCAACATTTATGGTATTTGACAGATGAGGTATCTGTCTTATCCCTGTTTGACGACGACGTAGATGCGTAAAGTAAAGTAAAATAAAAAGAATATAGTATAACTATAATAAAAGAAAGTTTAAACGCTACATTCCATCGAAAGAAGAACTTTCTGTTCCACTTCATGGTAATTCTGACTAATAAATTTTCCTTTGCCTTCTTGTGATGTACAATTGAATATTTTGTGATATTCGTTTGGTGAAAAAACTCAACAAATACAGCGTTTGAGACGGTTATTATCGGTCTCGCACATTCTATCCTTTGGCACTACGCGCCTCATGTTATCAAACTACTAACCCAGAAATGTTCTACTCCTCAAACTAGGTATGTAATGTACTATTTCATAGACTTTGAAGACTAAAATAAAATATAAGTTCATACCTCGTTTGAATCACATCTTCCCCAGCACGCCATGACTGTAATTTCGTCCCAGCATTGCCTGCCGTTCTCGTCTGACTGCTGCACTCTGTAAACTGTAGGGAACCCGGTGACATCTTAGAGTAACAGCTGGATTGACCAATGGCACTGATTCGGGAGGCATTCCAAGATCAGCGTCTATAACGCTTTGAGTGTTTACGATGTATACAAAGGCTGCTGTGAAAACCCAAGGTAGTAGGAACAGCATCTTGATATCTGAAACGACGAGAGAAATTATGACTTAGAGCTCGTATGATAAGGAAAGGTGCTAGGTAGGAACTAGGGGATTTTAATTTAGTGCTATTTTTCAATCACATAGAAGTTTTTCTTTAGAGAACAAAACCTTCTATTCTTGTATTCGTCATTGTCCGTCAAAGCGGTCCGTGGGTCCTGTGCTGTAGGTTTGGTTGCCAAAGTACAAGACAAAGCCAGGAAGAAAGAAAGGAAGAAGGAAGACAGGAATGAAGGGGAAGAGCAAAGAGGAGGAAGTGCGATAGTTGAAGGGGTGCTGTAGTATCGATAACTAGTATTCAGTAATTTTGAATTGCTCTAAAAATTAATTTAGAAATTTTTATGTGTGGAAAGATTGTAATTTTGCTTGGACCTAGAATTGCACGATTTAAGTTTGTTCATAGTGCGAGGGGCAGTCTTATGTGCTTGCGAACTTCCTCGAATGTGTTGTCTATTGACTCACGCAACAGAGAGTAGCTGTGTGATTCCGTCTGACTGAAACCCAAGTCATGGTCATGTTTGCATATTATGCAGCTAAGCGCCTACATAGCAACTGAGTAGACGTAGTCACCTATATAAGACACTAACATTTGCAAAGTATATATAATAAATACAGAAACAGCTGTGACGCTACGGTATCTCCTTATATATCAGGTATTTTTTTGGACGCATGAATATAGCATTAGGTTTGCTATCTTGTATTAACCGATTACGCATGGTGCCCGCACATCCTCTCTCTCTCGTGATGTCCGTTGAACCCGAGATACCCTTGGCCAGTCTTTCACTACGCCGCCATTATATTTCACGACCCTTTCGGTGTTGGTTGCATGGTTATACTGCTTCATCTGTCGCCGAATGCTGAGAGATACTGTGAAACATTATTGAAGCGTAGCCGCTTTATTCAAGACCACCGATGCGGCGGGGCCTGTTCTCTAGCGACGTCATTCTGCTTCACGACAACGCACAGCCCCACGTTGCGGCAAGACACATACACTTTCGTTGAGAATATCTGGAGCATCCATCGTACAGCCCTGATTTAGCACCATGGTCTTTTTCCATAACCTAATGGATTTATTGGAGGGAAGCGCTTGTAAAATGATGGGATGTTTAAAGAAACAGTTAGTAACTTATTCAACTGTCAGGCAGCAGCACTCTCTTCACAGACGGCATCGAAAAGCTGCCATGAATTGACAAATGTTTAAATATTTATACAGACCATGATGAGGAATAAAAAAAAATATTCATATTTAGGTTAGTGGTACCATTCACGTTCATGAATTAAGTTTCTCCGACTTCATTACAACGCGATTTTTTCTTAAAAAATGGTCTTCGAATAAAAGCTATTGATTAGCATGCTCAGTATTCACGCTTCATGAACTCTTTAGATAAAACATTTTAGACACCCCTGAATTTCGCGGCTCAAGAAAATACAATACTTTGCTTTTTTGGGCGATTTACAAGAAAATTCAACATAATTCAAACTGATCTGCTGTGTTCCCAAAATTCCATTCAAGTTTGGCATCCTTCTGACGATGTTAGAATGGTAAACATTGACGGCTAGCGTTATCACAAGTGCAGATATTTAAACATATTTATACAGACCATGATGAGGAATAAAAAAAATATTCATATTTAGGTTAGTGGTACCATTCACGTTCATGAATTAAGTTTCTCCGACTTCATTACAACGCGATTTTTTCTTAAAAAATGGTCTTCGAATAAAAGCTATTGATTAGCAAGCTCAGTATTCACGCTTCATGAACTCTTTAGATAAAACATTTTAGACACCCCTGAATTTCGCGGCTCAAGAAAATACAATTCTTTGCTTTTTTGGGCGATTTACAAGAAAATTCAACATAATTCAAACTGATCTGCTGTGTTCCCAAAATTCCATTCAAGTTTGGCATCCTTCTGACGATATTAGAATGGTAAAACATTGACGGCTAGCGTTATCACAAGTGCAGATATTTAAACATATTTATACAGACCATGATGAGGAATAAAAAAAAATATTCATATTTAGGTTAGTGGTACCATTCACGTTCATGAATTAAGTTTCTCCGACTTCATTACAACGCGATTTTTTCTTAAAAAATGGTCTTCGAATAAAAGCTATTGATTAGCAAGCTCAGTATTCACGCTTCATGAACTCTTTAGATAAAACATTTTAGACACCCCTGAATTTCGCGGCTCAAGAAAATACAATTCTTTGCTTTTTTGGGCGATTTACAAGAAAATTCAACATAATTCAAACTGATCTGCTGTGTTCCCAAAATTCCATTCAAGTTTGGCATCCTTCTGACGATGTTAGAATGGTAAACATTGACGGCTAGCGTTATCACAAGTGCAGATATTTTAAACATATTTATACAGACCATGATGAGGAATAAAGAAAAATATTCATATTTAGGTTAGTGGTACCATTCACGTTCATGAATTAAGTTTCTCCGACTTCATTACAATGCGATTTTTTCTTGAAAAATGGTCTTCGAATAAAAGCTATTGATTAGCAAGCTCAGTATTCACGCTTCATGAACTCTTTAGATAAAACATTTTAGACACCCCTGAATTTCGCGGGTCAAGAAAATACAATTCTTTGTTTTTTTGGGCGATTTACAAGAAAATTCAACATAATTCAAACTGATCCGCTGTGTTCCCAAAATTCCATTCAAGTTTGGCATCCTTCTGACGATGTTAGAATGGTAAACATTGACGGCTAGCGTTATCACAAGTGCAGATTTTTCGTGGCCTTGGCTGGAGAATGTGCTCTTTAAGAATTTTATTATTAAAATATAAATTAAATATTTAATAAATTCAATTAAATTTCACTGTTTCGCAGCGGTCGGTTCTAACGGTAGATGGCACTTCCCCGTCTTAGTCCGAACTCCAATGTTCTTTCAACAGGACAGAATCAAGCTTTATGTAGCTAACGACACTTCAGGATCCTCACAGGCAGTTTTCCAGATGGCAGTCCTTCTCGTAATGATAATGTCCACTTACTCTCCAAGTGACGCAATATCATTTCGCTTTTTTCAAGTTGAAATTGGGCCACAATTGTGAAAAAATACTACCGAAAACCTTGTGGAAGAATGATTATAACTAGAGTCAGTTATGGAGGGATATCCGGAGAACATCATGCATAAAGCATAACTGCCATACTTTTCCAAGATACACATGGATATTTTCTCAAAAATGTTGGCTTTGCTTTTCAAGCCGTTTATGCCACCGGTGCATAGCTAAACAAAAGCTACACAAACGTAATGTGGGGGACCATAGTCTTTATTATTTGTTCTCTTCGGCAAAGTCGTTTTACTTCTATCCATATCATACTTGCTTGAGTTTTAGAGCGCACATTTCCAGTTTTGAAAAGAACTTATGCCAATACATAGCAGGTATCGAGACTATCATCTTGTGTCTATTATTGTTTGCGTGTCCGTGTTATTTCAGATTATATCGTTGATTAGCATTGCCCTAATGCTATATCTCCTCGTTCAAAAATTATCCGAAATAAGATTAGATATCGTATTATAATCCATAAGAATTTGTCGTAGCTCGCATACGCTCATGTACTTCTCCATAGCTGCACCTATGTGACACTACAGTTTTCAAAGTATTTATAGCAAATGGGGAAACCTATAACGAATCATCAAAGGAGAGACTACGGTACCTCAATGGTTATGACGTATATCCTAAGAGTTTTGGCACAAAATTCATTGGCTTTAATTGTATCAAACACAAAATAAGATCAAGTTGCCTTTGGAAACAGAAGTTTGTTTACATACTTTACTGCCAGTTAAAATTTATTTATTTTGAAGTATTCGCTTTAAGATGTATAAATTAGAAATAAGAAAAAGCATCTACAAGTTGGTTGGGCGGGTAGCCTAAGCTGAAATATGTCGAATGTTCCAGAATGGAAACATTTCACGCATAACCATTTATCGAGTAATAGCGGAGTGCGAGCGGGGAATATTATGCTTGAATCTCCCAAAAAGTGTAAGAGTACGTGCATTTACTGCACAGAGGTCAGAGAGATTGGTGAGAAGAGCAAAAAATCAGGTTGGAATGCCAACAAGGGGACTGGCTCGTCAATACAGATCTTCTAAGAGTACGTTATCGTTGGAATTGAGGAGGAATTGTCTTAAATATCGAAAGAGACTCAAGTGCCCCAAATACTCTCAAGCGCAGCTCCTTCGTCTACCAAGATGCTGTCGTCAGCTGATGCGGGTAAACCTTGCCAATGGAAAATCATTATTTTAGATGACAAAAAGGACGTCTCTTTGAATAAAAATTTCTAACAGAGGTGTATCCCATCCTTTTGTGAGAAGAGTGAGTGTGAAGGTTTGAATAGCCAGAGCTATATTGATAAACTGTCTTTCCAAATTGCTTCACTTTGTCCTCGAACATCATGATAATGACCATATCATGTTTTGGCCAGACCTAGCATAATGCCAACTCAAGAGGTACTCAAATCTGACTTCCCAAAAACGATAATCCTCCAAACTTGCCGCAGGCTCGCCCAATGAAGAATTTTTGGGCACTGTCTAGGAAGATTTGTCATGGAGGCTGGGAAACCCAATATGAAGAACAATCGAGACTTTACAAGAAACTGAGACAAATTGATCTGAATTCCGTCCAGGATCTCATGGGAGACATTCGAAGAAAGTTGCGTCTGTTAGAGCAGAATGGGCCACATAATTCGATAGTATAGTTTAGTTAGGTATTGAGTTCTAATTTATGATAACTGGCTAGTGTTAAATAAATTTCTCCATTAAAAAAAATCCTATACATAGTTTGTGGCAACACTTTTAGGACATACGTTACGCTGCATGTACAAGCTGTCTATGATGCCATCCATATATCTGAAAAAATGATAAAATTCTCTTTGGGCGGGCCATCCAATGTTATTCATTGCTTTAATATCGCGGTAGTGTTAGTTTCCTTAAAAGTTTAATAAAGACAGAACTGCCATGAACAGTA